CAGCTGATAAGATAATGCACCACAGCCTATGACTGATGGGAAGCAGATGACATGGCTGCTCAGAGCATCTCAGTTTTAAAGGCTTTTCTTTATCCTCAACTTTTGGTTATGGAGCTTTGGGACAGTGTTTGATCTTGCAGAGAGTAAAACTTACTTTGTGAGGATCACGGAATTGTAAACTCTTGAAACTTCTTTTGTGTCTTGCAAATCAACTTCCCTGCCCACCTTCAAAAATAAACAGGGTGTGTGCCTTTCATTGCAAGTGGAGCAGAGGGAGGAGATGTCAGCTGCTCCTCTCAGTGGATTACAGTTAACGAGGTTTTACATTCTTAATATAGGGCTCTCTCTTTTTTCTTATTTTCATTTTTTTTTAGTTTTAAAGTATAAAATTTATAGATTTAGAGTATATAACATTGTATTATTTTTGTACATTGTAGAATGGCTAAATCAAGCTAGCTTATGTATTATCTTACAAATCAATGTCTACAGTGAGAACACTTCAAATTTCAAGTAGATTTTATCAACTACAGTTACCCCACAATGGATCCTTAACTTCTTAGTTCTATCTAACTGAAATTTACACCCTTTGGCCCATAACTTTCAACTCCTCTACCCTCCCCTGGCCTCGCCTGATACTCACAGCTTTATAAGTTGGACTTCAGATCACATGACTGAGATCACACATCATTCATTCTCCTTTGTCTGATTTATTTCACTTAACATCGTGTCTTCCAGGTTTATCATGTTTTCTTCTTTTCTAATACTAGGAAACATTCTCTTGTATGAACATACTACATCTTCTCTATCTATTTGCCCATTGATGGACACCTAGGGATCTTGATTATTGTGAAGGTAGCAATGAACATGAGAGAGCAAATATCTTTTCAGCATCCTTAGAGTATATGCCCAGAAGTGAAACTGCGTGTGATATGGTAGTTTGATTCGTAATTTTTGCAGAATGTCCACACTATTTTCCATTATGAGTGCACTATGTTACACTCTCACCAGCAGTGTCCCGGGATCCGATTCTCCCCATACTCAATAATACTCTTCTGTTGTCTATTTGTTAATAGCCATTCTCACAAATGAGAGCTGATATCAGTGTCTTGTACTGTAAGATGACTTACAGTCTTGCATATGAAGTATGGTGTTTAAACATTTTTTCCAACAATGAGTTTCTTATTCTCATCCAAAGCTGTAGGCCTTATCTGCAGAAAAGTTCCTGTATGTAAATTTTATATATACTTGAATCAAAGAGCCCCTGCTCCCATTCATACACCACTTAAGTATCTTTCAGCCTTTGTGACTCTAATTGTAGTGGGTTTTTTTTTTCATCCTCAATTCTAAATAATGGCTAAATGGATAGAAAGAGAAAAATTTGAGTCCTAACTGATTTATTTGGTGGAACCAAGGATAAACACAGAATGCACTATAGTATTTTATGCTTCACATACTCTTCTTGGAATAAGGACTAGCTAGTTCTAGATCTCTTTGCTCTTAACTCTTTGCATTCTGCTCCTTTTTCCAACTCTGTTCAGCCTTCAGCAATTCCTAAAGAACGTCTTTACGACTTAGACTCCTGAATTCCTAGCCTTGACTTATAAAAAAAAAAAAAAGTACCCTTAACAGTACATTTTGCCATTCTATTTAAAAAAAAAAAAAGGAATGTTTCATTGTGCCCAGTTTGTTCTCCATATTCAAGGCTGCCATATGGCTTCAATAGATGTTTAGCGAAAATGCATTTAATATCTCATAAAACCTACATAAAGATGTCAAATGTCCATAATTAAAGATGAATCCTCTTTGAGCTATTGCTTTGCCAATTAGCCACCTGGAGCTGTCTGGCCGAGTCCTAATCAATTAGACAGTTGTGGATGTTTTGAAGATGTACAAGTCCTAAGGAGAGTTGGGAATACTTAGCAAGCTTAGTGCTGATGATAGTGCTGGGATAACTGGATTCAGGATGTTCTCATTATGAAAATGCCTTGTGCAGTGCTGTTTCACTCCCTCAGGTAATCACCAGTGCAAGGAACTGAGCAACATCACTGAGCCTTGCCCTTTCAGACTATTAGAACTCACAGTGGCCTTGTGAGGAGCAATCGTGTGGAGGTCACAGGAAATTACTTTCTGAACTAATTCACTTTCTCCATGGTTCCTTCCTTTCTACAAAGGACGGTCATGTCTGGGCTTCAGCTTGCTACACTGGCAGACGCATAATAATAGTTCAATCCTTTCTCCATCAGTTCTCCAACCAGAGAGCAACCATGGAGGGAAATAGCATCCGAGGCATTTTTTGCCCTAGGGAGGGGTCATGAGATGAAGTAGATACTGAGTCACCTCCCAGACACTTCAGTTCTCACTGCAGCACATCTGCAGTCTTTTGTCTTCCCTCAGCCTCTTCTACCTCCACTCCAGTCACTCTTGTACATGGCAGCAATGTTAGGTTCCATTCTAGGGGTTATCTTAACCAGCTGTAGGAAAAAAAAAAAAACAGCTCTGGGTTTTTGGGTGACTTTGGGATGGGTCACTAGGTCTTGTAGAATGTTTTCCATTTTGTTTTGTTTTGAAGTTTGCCTTTTTGCTTTTAAAACAAATGCATATTCCATTACCTGATTATTTGTGTCATTATATTGATAATGTACATACTGTTTGTGAAATATGGCCAGATGTTGGAGAATATCCTTCAATAGATTTGGAAGGAGAGGAGGCAGAGGGGGTTGAGTCTGTGACTGCATTGTACAGACACCTCTGATGGTGTAAAGTTACTGACAAGAATGAGCCACTGGGGGTGATACTCAGAAGTCATTGGCCGTATGCATAGACTCTTAACTAGAGGAACCTGTTGATTTTTGCAGGTGTTCTTTAAAAAAAAAAAAAAAAAAAAAAAAAAAAACTGCCCGAGAGTTGGATGTGGGGCTAGAAATTAAATTGAAACACATTTAGAAACAACAGACTATAACCATTTCAATGGTAGTAGAAGATGCTATGCTTCTTACAGAGCAGAGGAAGTCTTGAATTACATAATCAAAACCATCTCCTCATAGCTGGGAAAAGGGTTGGTGGGTGCATTTAAAGTGGGTGGGAACTTTCTCAGACTGTCTGTTTTTTGTCAGCACCTCTGCTGACAGCCCTGTTTCCATCTCTGCTGCCTTCAGTGTCACTGGGTCATTGTGGGTTATATCTGAGTGTGCACCGTTACTGAGCATTCAGTCTGTATTAGGAAGAATGGCTAGTCTACACCTAACCTTCTCCACCTGAGTTCTCACATACATCTCCTCTAGCTTCACCAGCAGCTCTGTAATCTCTCTGCCTTTCCTGGGAAGATTTAGCTTCTAGAAGTTGGCAATAGTCATTTTTTTAATTATTGTGTGGATATTTTTTTCCATTTTTCCAAGAAATCCTGTGACTGAAATGCAGCTGTATATATAAATGTTGATTCACTGATAGATTATTTTTCTATGGTGTATGTTATCTCCCTCAGGAAAATGTATGTCAATAGAGTTTCACATTTCCCAGTACTTGCTAATTAAGGCAATGTTGGAACTGGGAAAAGAAAAGAAAAAACTGATTTTCCCAATTTCAGCTTTGTTCCACTCCATCTTACAATCAAATTCCATGCCATGTCTTCTGTCTTCTATTGCGTTTTCACAAATATGTCCATAAAAATTACAGTCTATGGGTCTGGAGAGATACTCAGCTCAGCTATTCAGTACTGTTCCTGCAAAGGACTTACATTTGGTTCCCAGCACACACATGATGACCCACAATTGTCTGTCTCTCCAATCCCAGGGAATCTTTGCAAGCTCCTGTGGCTTCCATGAACCCCTACATGTGCAAGGTACAGAGATTCATGCAGGCACACACACATGCACACAAAATGGTTAAAAATGATGCACATTTATTTTACTCTTGGCTTTTGCAGGCTTCTGTACTGAGCACTCTACAGCTTTCCTTCCAACCACTAACCACCAGACGTAGGCACGTTTTCCAAATGGGGACACCAAGTAAAGGAAATTTAAGCATAACTGAGTCAAAATAGCAAGAAAAAATAATGGGAAACAAAGTAAGCAGATATTGATAAACAGACATTGAACCTCGTTGGGGAGGGCCGTAAAAATCAGCACTCTGCTGCCTGTGTTCTACGTCTGAAAATATCCATGAAGCAAGTTTTTAATTAGAAAAATAGATGTGGTGAAAGAAGGTGAATTTGTCCCAAGAAGTAACACCTCTGCCGTGTCTGATGTGCTTAAAAGTATGGGAGTGCCTGCTTTCAGGATAGAAAATGTAGTAACCATGCTCTGGTCCAGAAGGCCTTCCTTGTGTAGTATGTTTTCTGGTATTTTGTGGCCTTAACGACTTCTGATTTCTTGGAGCTTCCCATCTGAGAAGACCCTGTATGCCCATTTTGTAGCCCAGGAAAACCTGAGGGGATGTCATTCCACATGGCAGGAGGGCACCCCTGCGGTGTTCCTTCCTGCGAACCTGACTTCGCCCAGTCACTGGTCTCCCTTGTAAGCGACTTCTTTCCCACGGCATCTGCACTGCCACCTCGTTTGCTTATTGTTAGCTGAAGAATTGTTCATCTCTGTTTAGACTTCAGCTCTGCATCTGCTTTATGCTCTCCATCTGTTCTCATTGTAGTTTCTTTGTAATATATTAGGCGCTGGGAAACATTTAAAGACCTAGCCAAGTCAGCGTGGGCCTTGGGCTTTCTTTCTCTCTGAGTGGGAAAGCCGCTCAGACTCGCAAAAATATACATTTTGTTTCGTGGCCAAGCAGAAACCACTTTACCTCTGAAGTGTTGCTCGGCTGCTGTTGCATTCTCTTGCTCTTTGCCTTTCTCCTGGCCATGCCCCATCCTCCACCCCATTCGCAGTAAGAAGTGACATGGCTTTCCAGGGAAGCCTGAGGGAAAAAAATCAAGCATTTCTGCACTAACGATCTAACATATAATGGATTGAAAAATTCAGCCACCCTTCTGCTCGCTATGTCTCTCTTAGATGCTGGAGGCCAGTGGTGATTGACCAGAAGAAAGGGAGCTGTACCCTGGAACTTCTGAATCGGTATGCCTCAAAAACCTAGCCTCGACAAAGTCCAGCTTTCCTCTCTGCAAAGTGACAGGACTACCGCTTACTTTATAGTATTGTCATGCAGATAAACTTCAAAAAGTGTCCAGAGTAGGACCTGTCACCTATTGCAAAAGCTTCACAAATCTTCAGTAGCTATCATGACTGTTAACTCTGCAGTCACTGTCAACTCGGGAAAGTGATAAATGTGGACAGTAATAGCTACCAAAAAAAAAAGGTAAGAATGTGTTTTCTTGGTTGACAAATTAAGTTGAAACCAATTTCACATTAGCAGCAGGCATTTGGCAAGTTCCAAAACATAGCTACCACCGAGGGTCCAAAAGAAGGGCTCCGAGGATAGCATTCTTTTCAAGTGTCATATTCACTTTGATTGGAAACTTTTACCGAAATGTGAGTCTTGTTGAATTTATTTTTCTCCTTTTTTGTCTAGCCAGCTGTCATTATATGCATCCTCAGAGGTGGGAGTTTTCTGACCGGGGCTTGCACAGGACAGAAGAGTCAGGCTTTGATTCTGTTTGTGTTTGAGGTTAGTGATGAAGAATTCAAAAGAACTGTTGGATGCTCTGGGGGAGAGTCCAGGCATCACCTTCTTCTGTTTGCTGGAAAGTTGGGGATGACAAAGAACAGCAATGCTAATAAGTAGCACTGTGTCTAGCAGAGTTCACACAGCAATTCTGTACTTCTGAGGAAACTGAAGCCTTTGATGAATGCATTTTTGACATACACAAAAACTCAGAAACTGATTAAATTTTGATTGTAGCATCTGTATTCATTCATTTGCAATTTTAACAATCACTTACTTGGCATCTTCTTGGACTTGCACTGTGTCAGACCCTGGAATGCTGCATGGAGTAAAACTATCACAAAAGGAGAATGAAAATGTAGTTCAATTCTGTAATTTGAGGAGAACTGAGAAAGGGGCATATTGCTAATCTTCGGACTGTATGGCCAGGAGATGATGTGGCATTTATGGGAAAATAGCAGCAGGGACCTGAGACTTTGCTGGCCTAAATGAATGAGGAGGTCAGAGGAGGGCCACATCCCTTCCCATCTGCTTTCTGGAAGTGCCTTCTCATTGGTACATCCTGCCTGGGGTGCCAATTAGTACAGATAATGGATAATGGAACCAGAAAGGACAAAGGATGGAGTCGGGCACAAGTCCTTCAAGATCATAGGTCTACTGGTGGAAGAATAACATATAAGCAACCAATTTTAATATGATCTTTGTAAGATCTGCTGTGTAACTGTAGTTAAAATACTGATACCTATAGAATAATGTAAGGGCCCAGTCAGGGAACAGAAGATGGCTCAGCAGACAGAGGAACTTACTGCCAAGCCTGTTGACCTGAGTGCAATACCCAGGATCCATGTAATGGAATGAGCAAACTGATCCTTGCATACTGGCCCCTGACTTCTACATAGGAGCTTGGCATGCACACATGCATGCATGCACATACACAGAAATAGTAATAAATAAACATAATTAAAGAAAAATCTCAGACCATACAGCTACTAGCTCTTGTATTTAGGCTCTTCAAAGCTGAGAACAGTTTTTCTGGGGGCTGGAAATGAGTGGAGGAAATATAATGAGGGGCAGAAGAAAAGATTAATATACAAATCACACAGATGACATTTGCTTGGGAATCATCCGTATGGGGGCTGGAGAGATTCCTCGGTATGTAGGAGCACTTGCTATGTAATTTTAAGAACCTGAGTAAAAATTCCCTAGGACCCACATGAAATCTTGGCAGGTAACCCCAGGCAGCATGGGTAGGGGAAGACAAGCTGATCCTAACAGAGAGCTTGCTGGCCAGCCATCCTAGGCTAAACTAGCTTCCAGCTCGGTGAGAGACCAGGTCTCTAGGCAACAAGGTGAAGAATGATGGAAGAAGATACATGACATCCTCCTATGGCCTCCTTATAGGTACAAACACCTATACATGGGCTTCCTGTGAGGCTTTATTTGGATTGTTGGAGAATATGACCCAAAGTTACCACAAGTTTTATGATGTAGTGTGAGGTACTTCTGACACACAAGCCTCCTGAGAGCAAATGTTGCTTGCTCGCCACATGGGCCAGCACCTAGAACAGCAGGTGGCACAGGCTACGTGTCAGGAGCTCTTTGGAGCCTGGATAAGCCAATGCATGAAAGAATTTCTTTACTTAAATCCATGTCTGCATTTTAATTTATTAAAGTTAAACTTGATACACTTTAACGACTGATAGTATTTTGATTCTTCTTTCTTGGCTGAAAATTAAAGACATTTCAAGAATAGGTTGTGGAACAGGCACTGGAAGGAGACTCAGAGCATCTATCCATTGTTAGGAGCATCGCTTAGGCTTCTGTCTTTCAGGCCTCCTCCCTAAAGTAGAAACTATGTTCTCCCCACTGGACCATAATGTTATTGTGAAGATCAGATGGTACCAAAGGGGCCTCAACAGGTAGAAAGTACTTGACAGAAAAGATGCAAGCGTATTTGGTTTCTTTCTCAATGCAGAGACACAGCACAAGTGAACTCTTCAAATAATCAAATGTATTCCATTAAACATGGGCTCTCTCAACTTTGGTACATTTATATTTGGGTTGTGGTGCATTCAGACATTTTGTTGCAGGTGATTCTCTTGTGCACTGTAGGATCTACTATGGTATTCCTGACCTCTCTTAGTGGGCACAGGCATGCCCAATACCACCATCACTCCTGGTAATGACCAAAAATATCTCAAGAGACTATGGTATGCCCGGAGGGCAAAGTTTCACCTGCACTGAACGTTTGTGCCCACTCTTAAGCACTCTCTAGAATTTTTCTAAAACATACTGGGAACTTTCTTGGCCTCTGAAATGTGGGCTTTTGGACTATAACCATCAAAAGTCAGCTGTAACAATCCTGATTCCTTAAGGCATATTAACAAGACTTGCCTGCGTCTCTAGGCTGCTGTCACTTTGTAGACCTGTGTCTTTGTTCCACGGTTTTGATTTTCCCTCCCACTCTGCCTGTGTGGCTGACAGCTGTCATTTTCTTGTAAGCATTGATGTATACTAATTTTCTATTTCTAATCTTCCGAGGATTTAAAAAGCAGTTAGCCAACTTTCACAGACTGCATCTAAAATGAGAATGCGCAGTCCCCGTGGTTGAGCCTAGATGTGCAGGCGCCTGCCAGATGGACTTGCTTCTTCTTCTTCTTCTTCTTCTTCTTCTTCTTCTTCTTCTTCTTCTTCTTCTTCTTCTTCTTCTTCTTCTTCTTCTTCTGATCCACAAAGAGGCCTTCTTATTCCCAACTTCTCAGTGCTGCTCCTCTGACGTGTGTGTGTGTGTGTGTGTGTGTGTGTGTGTGTGTGTGTGTGTGATCACCACTATTATTTTTAATACAATTTAATGATATTAGCCACAGATTTCCCATTTTCTTGATTTGGAATGAAATAAGAGAGAGGTAAGATATTCAAACATGCCTGCCAATCATCCAAAAGCATTTCCTGGAGTAGTTTATCATTCCTTTTCTTCCTACCATTCTCAATACAGCTTCTATTTAGAAACTGTGTGAGGAATGTATCATTAATATGTCTATGAGGCTGTACAGAATCTGGATAATACAGGTGAATGAAATGATCTTCAATATTTTAACTAAAATAAGTCCAATCTATTAGGACCGAGCATTCAGCGTGGTGCCAGGCACATATTATATTTGTGAAAGAAAGCACATGAATGAATTACAAAAATATAGTCTACCATCCCATTTGCTAGTACAGAGGGAGACCTGATGTGAGATGTGGCAAGCCAAAGATAAAAGCTTCAAAAATCCAGATGGGGAAAATGGTTTATAATGAAAGCGCAGACTAATCTTTCATGTCACAGATAAAGAGAGGATGGTAATGGTCGCAAGAGAGGGGGATGAAATGACTGAACTCCAGCCCATTTCCTGATACGCTGCAGTTCCCTTTTAAGTTTGCAGATTGGGAATGGCCCAGAACATTTCCGCTCCTGGGACAAATCCACCTCCTTTTATTCCTCTGTTGCCAGCACTTGTGTTTTTCAATGGACAGAGAGGAAGGTTAAAGCTCTTGGTGTGTGTTTGACATCAGTATATGGAACCGCTGGTGTCTCTAACAGCTCTCTTCTCGGGCTTGTTAGGCTATTTCTGTCTGCTGTAGCAAGGAATAATCCCTCGTGCCAGAATAAAGCAACCTGCAGTGGAACACTTACCCGAATGGTGAGCAAGGTCACAGGAAAGCATTGCATTTAAAAATGGCTCTGTACATAATAAAAAGGGATCAGTTCTCTATGTGGCTGTGAACACTGTGGGAAGAATGCCATTTTAACTTGCTGTGTATTTTCAAGGTCATGACTTCTGTTAACATTCTCTACCAGTAACAGACTTCCAGAGGGTGAACCTGGTCAGCCAGACCCTTGAGGCTGACCATTTTCCAACTGGGCATAGGAAATGTAAGTCCATCTTGATAGTAGATATCCCTCCAGGTGAAGCCCAGATTCCAAGCTAATTTGTGAATTTCATAAATATCGGGTGCTATGACTTTTTATGGGCTTACAGGTTTTTATGGTCATTTCAGTGAAGAGTTTCAATGAGGAAATAAAAAAAAAAAAATTTAAAGGTGACCAGACCAAAATCACAAAAAATAGCCACTCTTTGAAAGATAAAGAAATACTTAAGACATCATAAGCACCTATTTGTATTTCGTAGAAAAGATCTTTGTGCATCTCTTGAGTTCTGCCGTGTCAGCATCTTGGTTAGGTCATCAGTTAATTGAGCTGGGTTAATGGTTCTTTTTACTGTGATGACTTTTAACCACCTTTCCAGCAGAAAGTGTCTGGTTAAATCATGGACTGCTGGGGGAAAAAGGCATCATCCCTCCCCGGTCTACCATCTTTACCACCGACACAGCAGGAATTATATGCGGTGACTTTGGAGCATGCTGGGTACTTGGCCTTGTTTTGTCTGTGTCAGTAACAAAGAGCAATTGT